TTTTTTTTTTTTGTGTCTGTCACTACTTTTTCTCAGCTCTCACTGGACCGATTTCTTTCAAAAATACGTCAAAAGATCACAAATTGTATCTAGTTGATAACATTATCCTTAAAAATTGAAAAATTTTCCCTCGATCCTCGCAAATACGGGAAATATCCAAAAATATTACAAATTTTAAAAACAGTAAATTTTGTCATTTTTTTTCACTTTTTTTCTTAAAACTTCCATAACTTTTTCAAAAATAAACAAATCAACATAATTTTTTTTTATACTATAACCTTAGATACTTTCCTTTCATTTGATATCATTTTTTTGATAATCTAACACTTAACCTGCTCATTGGGGGGGATTTAAAATAGCAACTTTTTTACAAAAACTAACTTTTCCAACTTAATTTTTTATTATTACCTAAACTAAATTGAATGAACAAATATTGTTTTAAAAAGTTATGACTTATGTTAATAATTTATTTTTGGTTCCACTTCTCAATGCTAGAAGTAAAATATGACAGTTCTTTGGTTTTAAAGTTGATTCAAGTGAAGTTATATTCAACAAATGTCAAAATTATTAAACAAAAAAAAAATAATGTGAGAACAAATTTTAGCACACATTTGCTATAAGGTTCAAACAAATAAATCTTCATTATTAAAAAACCCAGCATAGTGGGGACGTGGCATAGTTGGTTCCAGTATAGATTTAATCAGACAGTGATTCAGACAGACAGTATCAAAAAAAAAACGCTTCTATGCAAATCTTTAGATAGTGTTTAATTTTAAAAATTGGTGAATTATTCCAAAAGCTACATGCTATTTCCTTATTTATATCCTGAATGAAAAAGGTATTATTAAAAAATATTATTTCTCATAAAAAAATTGTGTTGATCCATACGCTTTTCAATAAGTTATAGCATTATAAAGTTAAAAATGTAAAATATAATATCGAGAATTTTCATACAAAAATAGCATTCGGTAGCCATTTTCACCGTAAAGACAAAATAAAGTCCGAAATTTTTTTTTTGCATAATAAAATATATTACATTATCTTTAATTTAAGATATATATAAAAATGTCAGGCTTTCCAGAACACTTTCAAAAGTAAATTTTTTGTGAATAAGTTGTCATTTTAAATCCCCTTTGTAGGCAGGTAAAGGGTCAGATTTATAAAAAAAATATACAAAATAATAGGTAAAGACATCAAGAATCTATAAAAAAAAAATGCTATTGATTTGGTCATTATTGAAAAAGTTATGGAAGTTTTAAGAAAAAAAAATAACAAAATTTACTGATTTTTAAATTTGTAATTTTTTTGGAGTTTTCCCCCATTTATTATAACGAAGAAACGAGGGAAATTTTTTCAATTTTTGAGGGTAATGTCTTCGACTAGTTACAATTTGTGATCTTTTGACGTATCGTTGAAAGAAATCAGTCCAGTGAGAGCTGAGAAAAAGTGATAATNTGACGTATCGTTGAAAGAAATCCGTTCGGTGAGAGCTGAGAAAAAGTGGTAATAGACACAAAAAAAAAAAATAATAATAAAATCACTTCATAGTAAAACCAATACCTTCTCAGCTTCGCATCGAAGCAAAAAATTTAAATATTAGATTCAAATATTGAATATATTTTCTTTTCAATATTATGAAATAATATTGCTGAAATTNTCAATATTATGAAATAATAATGCTGAAATTCAGTACGATATGAATATTCAAAAATATATTGTTGACAATCCTACTAATGATAAATAAATGATAAAACTAGTACAAAAGTTACTTTAACATCATTCCTTAAAATTTATAGGGATATCAACTTTATTTTATTTTTAAATGATAATATGCATGATTAACTAGTTTATAAAATAGAAATGGTTTAATTAAGAAAGTGACAGGTCGATAATAACTTTTGTACTAGTTTTATCATTTATTTATCATTAGTAGGATTGTCAACAATATATTTTTGAATATTCATATCGTACTGAATTTCAGCAATATTATTTCATAATATTGAAAAGAAAATATATTCAATATTTGAATCTAATATTTAAATTTTTTGCTTCGATGCGAAGCTGAGAAGGTATTGGTTTTACTATGAAGTGATTTTATTATTATTTTTTTTTTTTGTGTCTATTATCACTTTTTCTCAGCTCTCACTGGACTGATTTCTTTCAACGATACGTCAAAAGATCACAAATTGTAACTAGTCGAAGACATTACCCTCAAAAATTGAAAAAATTTCCCTCGTTTCTTCGTTATAATAAATGGGGGAAAACTCCAAAAAAATTACAAATTTAAAAATCAGTAAATTTTGTTATTTTTTTTTCTTAAAACTTCCATAACTTTTTCAATAATGACCAAATCAATAGCATTTTTTTTTTATAGATTCTTGATGTCTTTACCTATTATTTTGTATATTTTTTTTATAAATCTGACCCTTTACCTGCCTACAAAGGGGATTTAAAATGACAACTTATTCACAAAAAATTTACTTTTGAAAGTGTTCTGGAAAGCCTGACATTTTTATATATATCTTAAATTAAAGATAATGTAATATATTTTATTATGCAAAAAAAAAATTTCGGACTTTATTTTGTCTTTACGGTGAAAATGGCTACCGAATGCTATTTTTGTATGAAAATTCTCGATATTATATTTTACATTTTTAACTTTATAATGCTATAACTTATTGAAAAGCGTATGGATCAACACAATTTTTTTATGAGAAATAATATTTTTTAATAATACCTTTTTCATTCAGGATATAAATAAGGAAATAGCATGTAGCTTTTGGAATAATTCACCANTAACTTTTGAAAATGTTCCGGAAGGTCTGACACTTTTATATATATCTTAAATTAAAGCTAATGTAATGTACTTTAATTTGAAAAAAAAAAAATTTGACCTCTGGACTTGTCTTCGTGGTGATAACGGACATCAAAGTTAAAGAAGAACGTATGATTTCCATTGACTTATTTCAACTTATTGAAAAGTTTATGGATCCACACAATTTTTTTATGAGAAATAATATTTTTTTAATAAACCCTTTTTCATTCGACATATTTTATCTTAATCGAGATATTAATAAGGAACCAGCAGATCAAGGATAATTAGTGTAATTTTTATGATTAAGTGCTAATAAAAGCTTGTCATTTTATGATGAATTTCTAATTTTATTATATTATAGCTATATTATATGTTAACTCTACTTGACACTTAAATCAATTAACCTTAACAATAAACATATATTTATTTGTAACAATTATTATATTTTATTCAATATTTATTTCAAAGTATACATTTCTAAATGATTACTTTAATTTTAGGAAAAATTTCAAAATGGAAGTATGAGTGAACATGAATTGCATGTTAAACGTTTGCAATATGAACTTGAACAAAGACAAACTCAACAAAAACAATGTGATGAAGTTGAAAAAAATAAAGAAAAAATATTATTTGAAATTCAAGAAGAAAGTCGAATTTTACAGGGTATTTTGCCTATGCTCAAAGATATACATAGTGTAAGTGAAACACAATATTAGTTTTTTATTTTAATGTGGTCTTATTCACTAACGGTTAGATTAATATTTAAAAAAATTATATTTTAATATGAAATTTATTAGTAGAGTAATTAATTTTAGTTGTTATAGAGGTGGACAAAAACTGCCTGTGCACTCAAACCTGTTAATCCATTGTGTACACCTACATAATTATATTCATTTGGTTTCTTTACATAAGTGTTTCTACTGAAGTGTTATATATATAGAATGTCCTACTAGGCCACACCTATATTTATTCAAAAAGTCCTGTATATCTGGCATAATTAAGTACCACTTTGGGTTTTAGGTTTTTGGTATTTTCTTCTTCTAGAAAAGATTTTCCTAAATGTTTAGATCTTATTGTAACTAGGGTATCACATTCACTCATAATGTGAAATGAATCTTCTTCTGTTTCATACTTCCCGCACAGTTGTAGTTATGTCACTCCCATTTTGGTGTAAAGATGTTGAAGTAGATGACCTTGTCCTGTCAATAATTAAGTAAATAAGCACAAATTAAGTGCTTATTTGATATTTAGTTATGTTATTAAGATCCTTTAGTAGTATTTCCTGATAAACATATTTGATACAAACATAATAAAATACAATACAATAATAGTTTAATAATGTATATAATCAAAAACTTATGTATTACCAGCAACTATAAGAAAGTTTGCAGGAGTTTTTAAAATATAATTTTTATTTAAAAGTATTAGTTAAAAAGTTTTAGGGATCCCTTGAATTAATGCTATAATTTTAAATCAGTTTAAAGAAAGCATTTTCTGAAAATAAATGAAACCTCAATTTTTGAGAGTAAAATCATACGGAAATTAACATATAGTTACAGATTATGAAATTTTAAGACATTATTTTATGAACTATGGAGATGTCAGAGGTTTTTAAATTTAAAATAAATGATAATATAAAAAAATTTCACAGATTCTAACATAAAATTTTATTTTGAAGTAATATTTATCCAGATAAATGAGCAATACACTAAATTACAGTGAACAGAGAGCAATAGAAAATATTTAATAGAATAGAATTAACAATTAAACTTAATAAATCTTAAATTACAAATTTTATTTTTATCATTCACTGTAGAAAGAATAAATTTATTTAGAATCAAATATTATATCTAAATATTTAAATTAGGAGATGAATTTAATATTATAATCAGATAAAGATTATTAAAAAATTATAAGATTTTTTATTTGACAAATAGTTTATTAATATATTTAGTATATAAAATTTTATATTATTGTAATGACGAATATATAATTTTTCTTATCAATTATATACAAATTTTTCAGTTTTTGAAATTTTAATTCTATTTCAAAAAAAATTATATATATTGTGCAATTTTTATTTCTAGGCATCATTACCTCTGCAACAATGTTTTGGGCTTGATCCATGTCAAGTTAAATCTTATCCAGATAATGTAAATTTATTACCAAAACCACTGTATTATTTGTATATTCAAACAGATGCATTTAGGGAAGCAACTAGTATGTTAAATGTTATTATGAACTTAATACGGTTTGATTTAAAAACTTGCCTTTATTCTAGATAAATCCGTTTTGGTATCCACTGATGGCGACGAAGAAGAAGCCAGGCGATTTGACGCAAATAAAAATCAAGCCATTGAAATTAACTCTGATGAAGTGATTATTTTTGCATAATATTTTATAAATGAGATTTTTATTATAATTTGTAAATTTTATTATTCTACACACAATATTATAGAAGATAAATTACAAATATGTCCAATTTTATATATTTTTTTAATACATATATTAATTAATGTGTTATTTTAGGAATTAGATATGCCAAAACCGAAAAAAAGACACCATAAAAAATCTAGAATAGATACCAAAGATGTACAACAAAGAAGCTTACTAACTAAGCATCCATTATCTGTAAAATTAACTATAAATTTGCAAAACAGTACACAATTTGTCATAGAATTTTTTTACTTGGTAAATCTAAATATAGTTACTGTAACGGTAACATCTTCATGGTCAGGGTTTTCATCGTCTTACTCTAGAGAGTTACTATCACCTATATCAATACTTGACTCATTATTCCCAGGAGATAATGGTAATGAAAGCCCAAACATCGTGAATTATCATCAATTAGATGAAGTTTGTTAATTTTTTGTTATTTATTTTATCTAATTAATGAATTCTATTAAAATGAAATTATATTAATTTTACAATAGATGACTGCTGAGTTCAACTCTTTAGATGTAGGAAAACCATATATATGGGCACAAAATATTTGTGGATTAGATTTTCTTAACTGTGATAAACCTGATCATTTAGTTTCAAGAAATCACATTTCACTAGTCCTAAAAGCTATTGATAATCGTGTTAAAACTAGAATCTCTTTAATTTCTCAACTTGATTGTAGTGGTGAGAATTTTAACTGAAATTAAAAATTACATGTTCAAGATTCATTTTTTCAGACTTGGAAAGAAGATTCAGCATAAATGGGGTTAATTTGACTTCTGTATTATCTCCTTGGAATACTATGTCTTGGGACAATTATAACAAATTACAGTACTGTAAATCACATGTTCAATCTGGAATAGTTTCGGAACAAGATTTGTTATTTAAACGAGTAGTTAATTATAAGACTGGTATTAAATTTTAAATTTTAGTGTATATGTAAAGTTTTTTATTTTTAATTTATTTCAACAGCGGCATTGACAGTTGTTATGGCTATTAAATGTGATTATCCTGTTAGCTCTCCAATATTTGCTCTTCAGTTGAATATGCCTACTGTAAATGAAGGAACATCTGTACTGAACTCTACAAACAATAATTCAATAAGAGTATTTGTCTATTTGAATTTCTTTTTTTTTTCTGGAGTTAAATAATTCTAGTAAAATATCTTAAATTTTTACATTTAATAGTTAATAGTTAAAGTATTAAAAAATATTGAATTCAATATTTTTTAATTTTAGCTAAACCTAATTATATTTAACTTTATATATTAAATGATAAAATACAGTTATTTCATCACTTAAATATTTTTAGGAACTTGAAAGGGAGATTAATATTTTTAATGAACCAAAAGAAGATAGTAATGTCAATGAAATGCTTATAAATCTTATTGGTCGGCTTGTAGTTTGTTTTGAAGTAATGATGGAAACCTGGGGACATCCAGATTTTCCTAAAACAAAAACAGTTTTGTACAATATCAGGTATAATACATTTTTACATATTACATCAATTATATTTATGAAGTCTTAAATGATATTATTTTTTAACAATCTCATTAATATAATTTATTTAAATATTATTTATTTACTATATGAATGAAATAACTTATTATTTATTGTGAAATTATAATCATCTTACTATTCTATTAAAAAATTTTATATGTTTAGGGGTAGAACCAGAAGTCATCCATTTAAAGTCGTTAAACACCATTCAGGAATATTATTTGAACATCGTTAAATTAATTTCCTTAGATTTAGTGCTTACACAAACTTTTATATAATGATTACCTATTAAATTTAATTTTGAATAACTGCATTTGTATATTTTCTTTACATCATACATATAATAATCTAATTATGTTTTATGTAATGTTAATATAATGTAGATACTTATTTAATTTTTATTCTCAACCAATAGATTTTTTTACTAAAGAAAAGTTACTATATCAAATTTTAGAAACTTGTATGATAATTTAAAAGTCATTAAGCAGAACTAATATAAAAAATAATTAACCATACACATTTAGGAGATTAAATTTTAAGTCATGGTTATTATTTATATGTGGGTAAATTCAACAATGTACTATTATAAAATAATTAAATATTTGAAATATACTTAATAAGAATAAATACATATACATACTTAATAGTTTTTAATAACATCGAAAAGAAATACAAATAAAGCTCTAGGGTATGGTGGCTTAACTAAATATGGTAATATTTATCATGAAGGTTTGTCATCCCCTTCCATGTCAAAATTATTTGGCCAACACTATCATATATAAGTTACCATTTAATTATACCTAATATTTTTATTAAATTGAAATGTTATGCTAAATTTATTTAAGATTTTTATATTCATAACTTCCATAAATGAATTACATATTTTCTATCTATAAATCTATGGATACTTTGAAAAGCTGTGACTATTGATAAATAAAGGATACCCACAGAATAAATCTTCTGTATAGGAAATATCTTTAAAATAATTTTAAATATACACACATTTTTAAAAAAGTACTCGTTCTAGCCCAAAAAGAAGTACATACATATCTACTTAAAGTGAAAAAATTAAACAATTTTAATGCTACCATCTAAAAAAAAAGTTAATCTAGCACAAAGTTGGCCCAGCTCATAATTGTTTTCCTAGTATTCTTATTTTCAATAACCCCCACAAGTATATTCTTGATTTAAAATAATTTGGTTTAGTCTACCATAAAAAAGTATCCTTAGTAAAAATACAGAGTGAATCACTTATTATAAACCATCTAATTAATCGAAAAATAAAAAATATGAATAATATTTTATTAGTTTTTAGCTTCGATGCGAAGCTGAGAAGGTATTGGTTTTACTATGAAGTGTTTTTTTTATTTTTGTGTATATCTGTTGCCACTTTTTCTCAGCTCTCACTGGACTGATTTCTTTCAACGACACGTCAAAAAATCACAAATCGTATCTAGTTGAAGATATTAAAAGTTGAAAAAATTTCCCGTAAATAGAGAAAATCTCCAAAAAAATTACAATTTTAAAAATCAGTAATTTTTGACATTTTTTTCTTAAAACTACCGTGATTTTTAAAAATGAACTTAATTAATTATAAAAATTATATATTATATAATTAATTAATTATTTATTATATTTTTGAATCTAAGAATTACTATTCTGGATATAATTAAGAAAATAGAAGTGGATGTTGATTTTGTAATTATCCACCAATTTTTAATTCTTATAAAATTTTCTATTTAATGATGTCAATTTCAAACTTGCAAATTGAGCTAAAAGTTATGGTAATAAATAAATTTTCACAAAAATCAACTTTAAAGGAATAAAAAAATAGGTTAAATATGTCATTTTCTTTATTTTTAACATATTAATAATCAAAATCAGTATTAATTTAAAACAATTTTTTTTTATTCTTAAATATTTTTTTATATGTAAATACTTATTTTTTAATATTAAAACTTAGAAATGATAGAAAAAGTCTAATTGCATATTTGAAAACATCGAGAAAAGTTGATTTAGAAAAGTACATTTTTGTTTCTGATGAAAGTTCCTTGTTTTCCAATGTATAAAACTCATCTTTATTATAAGTAACAAACATTTTTTATTGAAAAGTATTGCGTCAAGCTCTTTAAATTGTTTACGCGTTAAAAGTAAAGAAATATACAACTATTTTATTATTTTTATATCTCCGTAAAAATTACAATATTAAATTATTGAATATCAATTTCATACTAAATTTAATTACTATAATTATTATTTATTCATATATTATAATTATAAATCAAATTACTAATCGGGATAAAATGAAGGGAATAAGAGTTATTGTTGCTTTTGAAATAATCTACCAATTTCTTAAAATTAAACACTATCTACAGATTAGCATCGAAGCGTTTGATAGTAATTTTAATCACTATCATATCATCTATACTTGTCCCAACTATTCCATGTCCATACTATGCCACGTCCATACTATGCCACGACCCTATTGTGCTATCTTATTTTATGTTTAACGTTAATAATTCTTGGAACATAAGTGACTATTTTTTACTTACATAGAATTTATTCAAATTGAAGTTTGAAAAAAAATTACATTTATTTTATGTTATATATAATGCCATTTTTTATATAATGTTTTTTTATTCCATTTGATACTGGTTTTTTGCAACTGGTTTATCAAGTATTATAAAAATTAAAAGAAATATAACACAGTAATATCAATAACTTAACTATCTGTATTATCTTTGTTAAAAATGTATAGGAGAATGGGACACAAAGGGTTTTTGTATCTCTAACTCTAGTGAGGCTCAGAAACGTCCCCTTTATGATTTATCCGAAGAGTATGTTATTGTATGATGCCAAGCGGTTATAGTCTCCTCTGTGCTTTCAGCATTTTAAGTTTTAAGATCGACTATCTACAGATTTGCATCGAAGCGTTTAATAGTGATTTTAATCACTGTCAGATTGAATGTATACTGGACCCAACGATGCCACGTCCCCACTGTGCTAGGTCTTTTTTTAGTTCAATGTTTCTCTCCATCTCTCAATCATGTAGTATTTTTTATGTTTTTACCTTAAACCTTATAAGGGTGACAATTTTAATTTCTCAAATGGCAACGTACATAATTAACTAGTCTATTTATTAGATAATTATAATTAAAAATAGATATTTATTTTATATAATTAAGAAAATGATAAGAATACGATAACAACTTTTGGACCATAATTTAAAAAGTTGTTAATCACGTGAAGAAAAGTTAATATCAGTTTCAACTCTACGACGACTTTCCTTTAAGAAACCTCTACTTTTTTCATATAAATTATTGAAATATAAGGTTAGCTTAATGTAACACAATCTTTATAACTACATAGGATTCCTTACTATTAATATTGCAGGTAAATAAAATAAATCCTTCAATCGTAATAAAGACCTTAAAGGTCTCGAAAATCATTTGCCGGCACAGTAAAGTAATTATTTGTGCACTGTAACAGTAAGTTTAACTATTCCTTTCAATTATTAAACATCTAGTCGTTTTGAAATTCCTAAAAATAACGTAGTTCAAATGATTAAGACATTCGTAATATTGCCTTTATGTATACTGAGGTACTTTTAACAATGCAATGTAGACATATAATAATACATCCTTTTAATATATGCGCAAAAGGGTATAGATGGGTATAATATTTACTGTTATTATATTGTTGATACATGTACCTACATATTATTTAATACGAATATATACTATGTGGTGGTACGTCACGACGAAACAGATATATGCGACAAGCAAAGCGCATGGACCACTTTTGGTTGCTGCGTTTCCATGGTGATTTGCAGGACGAACTAGAAGTCTGTCGGGACAACATACGTGGTTCCGATATGATCATTATATTAGTCAACATGCCAACAGGCAAGTGACCGGACACACAAGTGTGAAGTTAGGGATTTTTATTCGTCTTACATAAATACAATAATCTTAATCAGTACGCTTTTTGGTCGTATACTCGGGACCGTAAAATACTTGAAAATGCTTATCAACTAAAAGTCATTGAACATTTTTATTTCATTTATTTTTAAAGGATGCATAAAGCAATCGATCAATCATTTCCGTTTACTTTTTCCAAATAATTCTAATACAAATAATTGCGGCGAGTGATCTCAGGTGAGTGCTAATTACAAAAAAAAAATAATGAATGATTATCAGTCGAAGAGATTTTAGTAAAACATAATTGACTGATTATTTTTAATTTAACAAAGTACCATTGTAATTGTACTTTTTAATACTGAATTACAACAGTTATTATAATATAACAGAAATATGTATCAAAACAATATTTTACTAATAGTCTTATTTCTAATAATAGCATTAATTGGTAAAAATTATTCAACTGTTAAATATTTACACAAATGAATAATTTTTTATGATTAAGATACAGATTATTTTATTTATTTTTTAAATTTAAGTAAACGTGAGATTTTTACATTTTACTCTACTAATTGCACAAGCGTATTGATATTGCCTAGTTATTGTGCCTTTTTGTAAAAAATAATTAATTTATTCAATTTTAAAAATTTAATTTTTTAGATTTTATGACTTATTTCAGTTATACTTTTGCCAAATTATACATCTATAATTGATTAGTGAGTTTGAATTTTTACTTCAATTGCTATAACAGTTCTTCAGTGAAGCGTATTTAATGAAAATGATGTGATTAGTTTCAAATTTAAGACTAAATCGATACCTTATAATATACAAAAACTATGTTAATTTTTAATTTTGATACATAGGTACCAATAGATTATTAATAAAGTCCATTAATGGTATTAATACCAAATAACTGAAAAAAATTAACGTAGCACTTTAAGGTTTACAAGTATAGATAGATTATATATTATTAACCTACTCATTGGAGAAAGCTTTTAGTTTATTAAAATATACAAATACATTAATTACTATTCATTATTAAATAATGCGTATCTGTAAATCATATCCAAATACTGATTTGTTACAAAAATGGCTTTTTGAGATTTTTTGTAATTCAGATACATGATATTTCCTTTCATGTGTCAAAAAACTATAACGGGAAGATGGGGTTAAATAATTAATTTAATTAAATAAATAGTAAAATGTATTGTATAACGAATGATCTTTTTTTATCATAACCCACTCAAGTGAGTTATGATAAAAAATTGCCCTCTTTAAATGTAACGAATATTTCACAAGTATGAATCCTGTATTTAACATAGTATTAAAAATTCGGAAAACGAGGAAAAATTTGATAATGTACTGAGAATCAAACTCAGGTTTCTTGTTATCCAGTCGAGAACTTTCTCACTAAACTAACTGGCAACCATACATAATCCAGAACTTCTGAGTTTAATGGTTAATAACATTAGGCCTTCCGACTTCATCGATCATTCATAAATACGCCGCTTATCGGTCACACATAGCCTCTGTGTTTGGTCACACCACTTCCCCTAACTTAAGACCTGTCCACTGATGTGCGCGAATTATTACTCTCAACACAGAGCAAATAATAGAGGCCGTAAATGTACACGCTGTCGCTTTACAGTATTCCCCACACTACGGAAATAGGATCATCTTACTTCTAAAATGTTAGAATTTTTTTTTGGTTTTCTTTTGTTACACATTATTATTGAAGGGTCATTCCATGTGAAATCACCTAATGTGTGTGCTGGTATAATTCAGAAACTTATGAAATTTATATCATAGACTTCTTAAAGGTTATTGACAACAAAAATAATTAAAAACATGAAAAAATAGCCTATGCTCTAGAGCCTATAACCTAACATTCAAATAAGCTATCACTGTGGTACTAGCATTGTTTTACTCATATTAAATAGTACATCAATTTCATTCTCAAGTTTATAAATTAAAAATTTTTTTGAACATCGAAATTTTGATTTTAATTTTTTTAATTTTGCAGTATTTTAATAGCAAAATTTGAAGGTCAAAAACATTTTTAATTAAATTTTTTTTTTCTTTTCAGACACTTTTAGTTATGTTCTATTAACCCATACCATATTTGAATCGATTTATAATTTTTTTTGTATTGTTTTACGGTCTTGAACACGCGTGGTTTTCTGAAAATAGCCAACTTTATCATCGCATTACACAAAAGTGACTGAACGAATTTTTTTTCAAATTTACATAGTACTTACCTTTAGGCAATTAAAACGTCTGGTGAAAATTTGATAATGGAGAAATAATTTTAACGCTACTTATAGAATTTACAAAATTTACAATTTGCGTATTATGGAAAATCCACAAACTACGTAATTTTCAACACTCAATTTTTATTTCTTGTATTTATTCTGCGTTCTGTAGTAGATTAAGTTATTGGGACTCATAAAAAAATCATAGAAGCAATGGCTAAGTTCGGAAAAGCTCCATTACTTTTCTTCATAAAGTTAATTACATCAATAGACATTGTTGATTCTTCGACTACTATGCTGTGGTATACAAATACTGCATACCAAATATATAAACTCATAAGGATTTCTATTGTACTAATTTCCGAATTTAATGAATTAGTGTGATTTTTAATTAGCGGATCATGTGTTGTATATAATATTGCATCTAACGCATCAATAATTTCTTGAATGTGACATAAAACTTTATTGCTTTAATACTATCACACCTTGTTAGTGACCATTTCTTTACTATGCTCTTTTGTTAATATTAAGAGAATATAATTTTAACACCACTTATAGAGTTTCAAAATTTATCATTTACATATTATGGAAGTCATAAACTACGTAATTTTCAACATTTAATTTTTTGCATTTATTCTACACAAAAATAAAATAATACATACCATTTTAAACAACTAATTTTAAAGTCGTAATTTTTTTAGATATTATGTATTTTAGATAATTTTATTATTTTAAAAATATAATAAAATGTGTTATATTTTTGAGTGTATTATAGAATAATTTTTATTATAAATTTCTTAAAAACTTAAAAAGTATTACATAGTTAATAATTCAAGAATAATGTGTAACCAAAGATAACAAAAAAAAAAAATATATTTTAACTATTATTACTCTGTAAGTAATTGAGTGGGTTATGATAAAAAAACCACTCTGTATAATATATAAATAGAATTGAATTATAATGTAGAATAAATTATAAGGAAATTTACAATAAAAATTATAAATAAATATTTGGTTGAGTAGATATGGCTTCAGTCTTTCTTGTATTACGTATAGCATAATTTTACTAATATGTAGTATTAAGACTATCGTTTTGAAATTATTGCAGTTTTCTTTGTCTCCTTTTTTGTGAATTGTGATGTAATATATTCCCACAATTGCTACTAATCTAACCCCTTAATTCTAATTGCTACCAATTTTACCCCCTTAATTCTAATTGATACTAAATATATCACACCCTTAATGTTAATTGCTACAACACCTTACATACATACTTTACAAACTATACCGCTTGACCTAAATTATAAAAATATTAATAATAAAAATAAAAATTGAAATTGAAATTGAGAACAAGACAAAAAACAGTTATATTTTACACAAAAATAATATTTTTTTTTGTCTTTATTAAAATTTTTAAATATAGTCGACAGTAAAAAAATATTTTTTGAATTTATATTACTCAATATAAGCATTAATTTTATATATGTTGTAATGTTTTTGGAACATTTTCAAAAGTTAAGTTAATAAAAGAATAACTTGTATTGATCTATTCACTTTTCAACAAATTTTAACAATATAAATTCACAAAAATAAATTTTGAAAAAATGACAAAATTTACTGATTTTAAAGATTGTGATTTTTTTTTATTTTAAGGAATGGAGCAAATTTGTTGAATTTTTGATGGTATGGTTGCAACTAGATACCATTTATGTTTTTTGAAAATTTTTTTTCGTAAAAAATCTATTGAGTGAAGTAAAAAAAATTGTAGTTAAACTTTAAAAAAAATTAAGGGGAAAATTAAAGGTGTCGGATGAATAAAGAACTACATATCCACAACAATCGTAATGTATACATTCCCAATCCGGTAATTGTATAATACACTTCTAGAATAAAATAGACTATTTAAGCTAATTAAAATTATTGAAGCTCAACCTAAAAAAAAGACAAAAAATTCAAATTAAATTTATCTTTAAATCGTATGTAGATTTCATTCACATAACATTTATTGATATCAGTGACGCCATCTGACAAGAGACTGTAGCCTCTCATTTGTAAAGTATTTTTATTTAAAAAATATATGTTAGTAAAGGAATATGTCATCCGCTTACAAAAAAAATTTATTAAACGCTTAGCATTATATTATAGCAATGTAAAGTTGACAAAATAGTAATTTTTGGAAGGATCTCTCCTATTCACAATGATAGAGTAAAATTTTTTTCTATTTTTGTGGGTCGAGTGTTTATCTAGATACGAATCAGTTCGATGAGTGCTAAAAAAAAAAAAAAGAGTAGTAACACACATCATAGTACAATTAATCTCTTCATTTCCACATCGAAGCTAAAAAGTAAACTAAATTTATAAAATTTATTATTCCCAAATCAACAATTACATTTTTACTATAACAAGTAAATATTTTTTGGATACCTTCAAAAAGTTTGTTCGTAAATTACCAAACATCCAACAATAGATAACCTAATTTTTATAATGAATTTATGCCGTATAGTATAGGGCCTATACATTTTTCTAATTATTGAAAGATAATCTTAAGAGTGAATAGCAAAAAATATTACACAATTCTTGAGGAGTGGGTAACGATTTTAAAATTGTTCTATAAAAAAATTTGTTTTTTTCTTTGGCATCAAGTGCCTTACATATTTTTTAATGCTTTAACTTGTTATCAGACTTATTATTTTATCATTTTATTGTTATCAATTTAATAACGAGCTAAGATCTTTATCTTACTCTGTGAATATAATACCACAGATCTTGTAAACATGGATAGGACATTCATATTTGAGGACCTTGTGTTTTCGCGGTTCTGAACTGATAAGAAATTGAGGCCGTTTGTTTACATTTCAAATATGATAAGAGCATAAAATACTGTTTTAGCTTCGATGCTAAGTTGGAAGTATTAATTTTACTATGATGTGTTTTTTTTCTGTGTCTGTTACTACTCTTTCTCAGCTCTCACTGAACTGATTTCTTTCAACGATACGTCAAAAGATCACAAATCGTATCTAGTTGAAGACATTACCCTCAATAAATGAAAAAATTTTCCTTGTTCCCCATTAATGGGGGCAATCTCCAAAAAAATTACAAATTTAAAAATCGCTAATTTTCGACATTTTTTCAATTTTTTTTACTTAAAACCGCCATAACTTTTTTATAAATGACCATATCAATATAATTTTTTTTTATATAGATACGAGAGATACTTACCTATTATTTTGTATATTTTTTTCATAAATCTGATCCTTTACCTGCCTACAGGGGGGGATTCAAAATGGCAACTTTTTCACAAAAAATTTACTTTTTCAACTTAACTTTTGAAAGTGTACCGGAAATACTGACACTTTTATACATATTTTAAATTAAAGCTTATGTAATATACTTTATTATACAAAAAGAATTTTGTACTTTATTTTACCTTCAAAATGAAAATTACTACCAAATGCTATTTTTGTGTGAAAATTCTCGATTTTATTTTTTACACTTTTAACTTTATAATGCTATAACTTATTGAAAAGTGTATGGATCAATACAATGTTTTTATGAGAAATAATATTTATATCCCTTTTTCATTCGACATACTTTATCTTAATCAGAATATTAATAAGGAAATAGCAGATCATGTAGTTTGACAGAAATTAAGAATCTCTCAAAACCAAGTCCTGATGTTGAGATAATCTGTAATGTAACTGAAAAAATATTTAAACAGTACACTAATCACATCCATTCAAAAAATCCATACAATTTTTTTTTAATTTAAGTTAAAACTGAACTATATAGAAGTTATAACATATTTTCTAAAGTAACTTGTAGAGATGATGCTTGGTTTGAAGATGACCACAAAAACAATATGATAACTTTAATAGTGTTGAAGTATTTAGATGTTAGAATGTATCACGAAGTTAGAATAAGAAATGAAGAACGCATTAAAACAAGAGCAAAACTAACAAAAACTATTCATTTTAATCACGATTAATTTATGTTCATTACTGTTTTACTATATATTCTATAAGTTTTGGAAAGAATAATTGTTGTAAGTTTTACATTATTATACATTACATAACTTATAATAATTAATAATTACTAACCATTAAAAAATAAAAAGTACATGTTATCATGTAATAATGTAAACAAATAGCCTCAATTTACTATCACCACAGTCTTCACTGATAAAGCATCAATGTCCTATCCATGTTTATAAGATCTATGTGTAATACATACTTTTTATTTTAAGTAATTATAAATTCAATTATACAATACCGGCAATGTAGTTGTTTTGATATACATTATCAATAGATAATAAACTTAAAACTTAAGTAAATATTGGGTTAACTGAAGAAATCTAGATCAGTTTTCATCAATTGTTATGAGTCTTATAAAAATGTATTATTCTATGTAATGTATTTCAATTTTTGTAAGGTTTAATTAAAAAGAAAAAACATTAATTTGGTATGTATTGATAAAATCTAAATTTTGTTTTTTTTTTAATTTAATTTTTTTAATAAATAATTAACTAAATGGGTTAATTAAATTATTTTAATTAAATAATTTGTTCATACTATGAACTATGAAATAAAAAGTTCTTCATACCTGTCGTTTTTTATTACTTTTATATTTTGTTATTAAAATATATTTTAAACTGTATCTTATTTTTAGGTACAAAGTAGTTTTGTAAAAATTATGTTTGACTTTATTAAAAAGTCATTTATAAGTACTGATGGAAATTATGTCAGCCCATTTTTTTGTAACCAGATTAAACAATTTGGATATTGTGAACAATCTAATCTGTGTCAGGAACGTCATGAAATATGTGAAATTTATGACAAAAATGTAATTAATATACCAAAAAAATGTTTCGTCTCAATAAAACTATTAAAAATTAACACAGCATCTAACTTTTATGGTAGAATTTATAAGTATAGCACTGCTAAAGATCCTACACAAGAAAGTCATTGGATTAATTTAAATAATTCCTTTGATACTATAAAAAATGAACTTGGAAATTTTGTAAAGTCCTCTAAGCCAAAAATTTTGTATAAATACCCTAAAGTTGGTGATTTAATTATGGTAGAAACTGTTGATGTAGAATTATTCAGAGCAGTTGTAATTGAAATAAATGGGTGGATAATTCAAAAATTAAAGGTAAAACTAATTGATATAGGTTCTTTTGTAGAAGTTCATTCATCAAAAATATATGAATTACCAGAGAGCTTAAAAAATTATAGTCCAGCTGCTATAGAAATATGTATATCTTCAATGAAACCTATTGGATCTGTTCTAAATTGGCCCATATCAACTACTAATATTACTCGAAGCATTTTAGAACCAGCTATAGTTGCAGATGTTGAATTTATTGGAAAAGTTGAATTTTTGATGGGATCTACATTGTGGGTGAGTTGGCTTTTTATTGAACAATGTGCTATATGTTCTCATTTCATTTGTAAATTGTACAAGAATCCTATGTTATTGCCTAAAGAACTGATTGATCGTAAACTTGCCGAAGAAAGCTCACAAATTCTTAATAATTTAATTGACCTTTATAAATCTACGAATATGTGGATAGAAAATACAGAAGTGGAGTTTGATAATAAATCTTTAATAGATTGTATGAAATATAATATTTCATTATTTTCAGCTGACGATCAAATCAATGATATAGTGGAAGAAATAAAACCACAGTGGGCTCATTTATCTATTGATATATATCATCAAGTAACAGTAGATTATATTGAAAATCCAAGATGCTTTTTAATACGTAATATTAAATTTTTGGATAGAATAAACATCCTACAAAAAGATATTAATGAACTCTTCACTAAAAACAATTTGAGAAAGTTGGATGGTATAAAATTAGGGAAAGTTTGTTTAGCCAAAGCACCTGATAATGAAAACTATAATCGTGCTCTTATTAAAGAGATTTTTGAAGATGAAACTGTAACTGTATTTTATGTTGATTATGGAGAATTTTATAAAGTTCATATTACATCTTTAATGGAAATACCTTCTAATATAAAATCTCAGTTACCTTTTCAAGTAATTGAATGTGGTTTAAGTGGTTTTAATAAAATCTTTGAAAATAATCTAACGGACCAAAATATTATTGAGTATTTAATGCAACTCACAGATAATGAAGTATATTTAAAAGTACTTCAATCATCATCAAATTCAATATTAACAAATGGACATTTCTATAATGTTGTATTATTTAATGATAAAATTAATATTAACCATGAAATGGCTTTAAAATTTTCTGATTGTGTTGACAATAACCAAATACAAAATATTTTAGATGCAAAATACCAATATGTTGAACATATTAGTGATGATGAGAGTATTGATGATGATGATGATATTTTACAAGCACAATATAAATTAATGAAAAGTTTATTAAAAACAACTAGTGAAGAAATAAAAGAAAAACCTGTAAACTTAAGCACCGAAGACAATGTTCTAAAAACTGTTCCAAAATCAAATTTAAATCATGCTATAGAAAATAATATTCAAAATCTAAGTAAAAAAAAAAAAAAATTGTACTGTTTAGACTGTAATCGATTTCCAGTTGTTCCGCGTTGTTTTTGGCATCAAGATGAATCATGGCTCTATATTAAACTTAATATTCTTTCAGTAATCAACTACCATATTAATCATACAATTAACTCAATATCAATTTCTGTGGAAACAAATACTGTTTCATATAACTTTACAGCTGTGTTGTATGCCTTTATAGTTGAAGAGTCATTTAACTGTCATGTAGTTTTTGATGGAATTCACATAAAATCCAAAAAATTATTTCAAACGAAATACAAATGGCCACGTTTAATGAAGTGCTCAAAAAAGCATAAGTATATAACTTATAATCCTGAGTATGTTCTGGAGAAATCTGATAAAAATGTTTGGGCAAAGCTTATTGGCAAGTACAAGATGAAAGCTATAGGAAAACCTTTAAATGTCGATTATTATGATGACAGTGAAAATTCTTCAGATAGTGAAGAATATAGTGTTTTTGAAGACTAGTCATTAAATAACAATATTTGTATCTCACATAATCATTTTTTTTTTTTTTTATACTTTTTATTATATTGATACTATATTTTATTAAATTAATTTATATAAACATAGAATGTTGAAATTATTGCAAATAAATGAACAATAAATTTTATACTTATTAAAATTATGAAAAAAGTTATGCTTATGTTTTGTTACTGTAGTTGGTTTAATGAAGTGTATTTTAATAATACTTTATGATAGAATACCAAAAATAAATGTGCAGAGTAGAATAAGCGTTTTCTAGTATCAACTCAACAACTTCGTATTGAATAACAATAACATTATTTGTCCTCTAAATAATTTTATAGTTTTAAAATCCAACATACCAACAAAATTAAAATTATATTTTAATTAAGACTAGTTTTGTACGTTGTTTTACCAAGTTATTTTTATTTTTAGGTAACGTAAAATTAAAGCACCAGTTACAAAGTTTACATAAATGAATATAGCTATATTTTGGTGTAAGATTTTATCAATGATAGAGCGCTCAAAACTGTCCTTTCATTTGATTATATCCATGGTAACAAATTATATATTTGTTTTTAAGATTTCTATTTCCAAAAAATGTATACATATAAAAAGTATTTATAGAAAGATTAAAACACGATTTTATAGTTACGACCTACAAAGACCAAACTATTTATGATCTAAAGCGTATTAACGTAGGAAAAAAATAATAATCTTAAAAAATATTAGATAGGCCCAGTGGTGCAACTACGGGGGTGCTGAAGCACCCCTAAGTTTCACGTCTTTGTAATTTCAAATATGTATAGTTTTAACAATGTATTTCTATTTTTTTTAATTTTATTATCATATATATGTTATATATTTTTACTTATCTTGCATACTGATTAATAAAATTTACATCATCAAGGTTGTGTTATATCCTAAATGGTATATTATATTATACTATCAACATTATAGCATTTTAAAAAAATGTTTTAAGTATCAAAACGAAAAAGAAGCGAACCAAATAATTTGAAAAATTTCCATTTGGAAACGGAGCTAATTATGAAATACAAAAAGAATCAGTTGAAGCCTATTGGAGGCAAACAATTTATTTCCCAATTATTGATGCTATTATTAAAAATCTAGAGTTCAGGTTTTCAAATGAATATCTTAAGATGGCTAAAGCCATTGATAATTTTATAAATATGGATTATGAAAATAGTCAACATTTTATTCTACATTATAAGGTGCATATTAAATAAGTTATTAAGTACCAAATGTAATAAAATCATTACATTTTAAAAAGTTTAAAAAAATATTCTATGATTTTAGGACATAATAAATTCAAATACCGAATGCTTAAAATCAGAAATTCTAGTAGCAAAGAATTGCTTACGAATCAGTAAAGATGAAATGTAAAAAATTCTAAATAAAAAAATATTTCCGATTGTATACAAGTTAATGCAGGTTGCTTTAACTATACCGTTTGGTTCTGCGACATGTGAACAAAGTTTTTCCTTCATGAAGAGATTGAAAAACTGGTTACGAAGCAGCTTGTTGCAGTAACGTTTTACATATTTAAGTCGTTTGAATATTAAAAGAGATATTGCTAATTGCATTGATTCTGAAGAAATTTTAACTACATTTGAAAATGTTGACCGAAAATTATTTTTAACACTTTAAAATTACTCTCTTGGTATAAAATAATATTTACTAAATATAATAGTAAATAAATTTAATGTGTTATATTAATTTTTCTAAAAATGATATTGCGAATATCATAATAGTATTATAATTTAAATATTGAGTTTGTGTAACGTTGATGGTGTGGGGGCGGAGGCCCCTAAGATTTTGTAAGCAATTCATAATTGTAGCACCCCCAAGATTTGATCTCTAGTTGCGCCACTGGATAGGCCTCTGTTTATCTTTATTATAACATGATAAAATAATTAAATATTTTTAATTACGAAGAATGCATAATAAAAAAAACAGTATTAGGCTTTATAAATTATTAATTAAATAACGTAATAATTAATTGTAATACATTAAAATAAAATAAAAAGTCGTAGAATAGAAATATGGTACACAATTTTTATCCGTAGAAAACAGTCAATATCTCGGGAGCTCTGGAACTATTTTTTAAAATGGAGGACAAACATTTAATGACTAAAAATCAGCCCTCTTAGTTATACAGCTAAAAAGGCGTGTGGGTTATATCTTACAACACACAATTATTTAAATGGCGGTAGACTTTTATTAAACAAAATTATAACACTAAAATAGACGTATAAACACTAAAAGAAAATATATGTATATACAGTAAGGAAAAATAAAATAATCGAAGTAAACATAATACACGATGACAACAGCGGCGGGGTGTAGCGGTCGTGTAGCGTATCGCGGACTAGACAGTCTGAACTGAACTAACTAAACTGACTGATTCTTCCGATATATATATAGCTCCGATAAGGCTCTCGCTAATTCTAGAATATTCTATACCCGCGTAGGTTATCTTATGGCGTTATCGAAGTTTCTCGAAGGTTTTTGATAACGAGAACATTCGAGAATATTCGTTGCGTATGTTTTGGTCGCTACAGGCGAGTAAAGCTGTTTTTTGGTGGTTTTTAGTGATCACAAAAAAAATTTCAGTAGTTTATACATTTTATCCTTAATGATGCATATTCAAAATCGTTTTAAAATTTTTAAGCAGAATAACTTATTAAATTAAAAATTTTAATTTAAAAGTATGTAAATGAAATTCTGAATTAAAAACAAAATTAATTTTAATAAAATTGTTTAATATAATAACAAAAACCTATCTTAAATTAAGCTAATAGAATGTTCTTTAATATAAAAAAGAAAAATTTTATGAAATCTCAATATCTAGTAGGTATTGAAAATTAAAGCCAAAATCCACATATTATTTTTGGTAAAATTAGCCGATTTTTATAATATTGTGAATACTAACGAAATGCTTACATCTTTCAAAATTATTTAAAATTAAAACTTGTTTAATGTAATATATGATTAAAAATAAAAATGATCTGATGGCTTATTCTTTATAAGTGATAAAACACTAAAGTTAAAGAACAAGTAATTTTTGATAGATAAATTTTATTTATCTTTTAATCTTTTAATTACACATCAAAGCGTTTTACGACAGCGATTTAAATGAATCTTAGAGTTCAATCAATACAAATCAATAATCTAAATAATGCTTTAGTTCGACTTTATTAGATCCTTACTGTACTTTACTATTTTATTATTTAAATGTATTTTAAATTATGCATACAATCTTTTAATAATAAAATTTATTATTAAAAAAATTTAATTGTAATGTTTAATATTACAATAATAATTTATATATAAATGAGGTATATATAAATTAGGAGCCTTACAGTTTCCCCTGTGATGGTAACCACTTTACTGTTAAAAATTTAAACTACTACCCGTTTAAATTTTTCCCTACGAAATGATAAATAAAAATAAAATTGCCTACAAACTATGATAAGTCCATAGAATAAGATAAAAAACTAATTTAATCTGGCAATCCAAAAAAATATACATAACATATGTTTTTATGAATCAGCAATAAATAAAATCAAATATACTCGATAAAATATCGATTACCTACCACAAAACATGAATTTAAAATAATAAATAAATATAAAATAAATTGGTTTCTTATTTATTTTAATTTATTTTTAGTAATGCGGCAATGTAGCTCATCTTATAGAATGTCTGGTGTGGATCGCCGAACTAACGTTGATGTGCAAATATTAAGTGCTGCTAGTAAAGCTCTCGCAGAAAAATGTTTCTGGAATGCTTGCAAGGCGTTATCTTTTGGACTATTCTTAATGGCTATTGGCGCAATAATGGCAATTATAGGCAAGTTATATGTAGTAGAAATAAATAAATAATCGAATTTTCAGCTTACCGGAAAAAACGGCTGTAATCTAAGACTGTTTAACTTATGACCACAAATCGCCAAAATGCTTTATCGCTCATTTTAACCAAAAATAGGTCTTTTTCAAATTAATGAAAATAATTTTATTTATCTGATCAAGTAATATTTTTCGACAAAGTATGTCATCTTAAATTTACAAATCGTCTATTACACCCAGAGAAAAACCTCGATCTATATAATAAATTCATTGTTCAATTTGATAAATATATCATTACTATTGAATCAATGATATATTTATCAATATGATATTTTTTTTTCTTGTCTTGAACAATAATTATTTATAAGAATAGTTATTTTGTTCGTATTAATAAAACATTATCATAAACCCTTGATAAAATTTCTCTTTCAATTTTGATTGAGGTTTTTCTTTGGGTGTACCAACCAGACTTTTTCAATGATTTTATGAATTAAACGTTATTTCTACTTCTTTTAGTTCATTTTCAGAGAAATTTCAATCCGATTAGGATTATAATTTTTTATTAAATTATAAGTTTTCGTTGATTTTTCTATAAAATAGTATTTATGACGTGCCATCGTATTGATAAATCACAGTAATGAAATTAAATTCGAGTTACAGAACTCTTGCTTTTAAAAAAATATGAAATATTATGATTTATTTAATATTTTAACAGTAATTTTCCATTATTTTTTCTATATAGGCTATTATGCAGAGCAATTATCATCTGATGATATATTAACAAAAATTGATGGAGGAAATTCAAGTTCGACAGCTACCAAAAGTGCTAAGAAGTCTTCTCATACACTATACAAGTTATCATACGCTGGACCAATAGTAATGGGTGTAGGAGGTAAATAATAAAACGTTTAACATTTAAATTCGTAAATACAAATAAAAAATATATACCCCAAATTGAAGAAATATGAATTAAATAAAAAAAGAGATTTTAATACATACATATGTATGTATATCTATGGTGGTAAATTTTTCTAGAGGTTTATTTACTTGAATAATAAATAATATTCTACAAGATAGAGTGCGAAAATATGAGACGAAATAAAACAGTAATTCAATATCAACAACAGTTTTTGTTTTATTTCATTTCTTAACCGGCATGCCGCACATAAGTAGAAACTTAATAAGGCTTAGACCCTCTCCCAATTAAACATTTTTTTTATATTATTATTTTTTTGTATATTATGTTAACCTTACTAGATTATTTTAGCCCCCTAAAAATTTTATGAAATGTCCGCTTGTAATG